GCCCTGCGGATTTGCACAGGCTCCAGGTTAAGATGGGGCACACCAGTGCTGCAGCCCCACTGGCCCTCCCGCAATGCTGGTAGATAGAGGATGCTGTCAGGACGTACACACATGCAAATGTTTAAATACTGGTTGTTGGGGACTACAGGAAAGCCTACAATAGACATTTTGCCTTGGGATATTTTCTCTATTTCAAAAAAGCAATAAAAATATGTGCTACTCTGAGGGTTCTTTCTCTGCTTAACCAGCCCCTTTATTATTATCCAGCTTCTCTCAGAATATACCCTTCCTTCAACAAACCTGTACTGCTCCAAAGGGCAAAGCTCAGGTCTCAGGCAAGGGTTGTTGATGCACACTTTTTCACTTGCCTGACTTCTTTCCAGTACAGGTCAGACCGGGATGGATTTGAGGGTGTCCACCCATAGGCCTGTACAAAGCTGACTGACCCCTTGCATTGGTCAGGACTGGCAACACGAGGCGCGAGCTACGCCGTGGCCACAGGCAGCCCTGTGGCCCAGCCTGCTGCACTGGAAGCACACAGGGCAAAAAGCTTTTCAGGAGTGCTGGCCATCCACATCCCTGGCAGAAACCAGCCAGAGGAAGCTTGGAAAACCCGGCCCTTTTATTCTCCAGAATTAAGACCTTGATTAGCTGCTGGCACAAGACCAAAACTCCATCTGAAATGCTTTAGACATCCCATCTGCGCTCGGTTTGGGAGTCTGAGGAGCGCATGCTGTGGCCTACTCCTCACCCGTGCCAGGCAAAAACAAGGGGGAAAGAAGGGGGTGAGGAGATGGGTGGAGGAGAGCACTCCTGAGCCCCCACTCTCACCGGAGGCGCACCCTCACCTCCACACCCATTCCTGCAAGGGGCCCTCCAGGCTGCCCCAGGCCCGAATGTCTGCCAGCCTAGCTTGGCCCAGGGGCTCGCTGGCTGCCCTGGGGGTCACAGGCTGGGTCCTGGCACCCTGCGCTCTTGGGCCAGAGCCTGGCCTCTGCTCCTCCTGAACCGCCAGGGCAGGGCCCGCGCCCAGACAGGGCCACAGGGCCCTTCCCTCCCCTCTCCCCTCTCCCTCCCCAAACCCCCGTGGTCCTTCATGAGTCCTCACACTTTGTGATAAATTTCATAATTATTCAGCCCTTACTACCAACACCGAAATTCATCACTCAAAGCAAATTAGCCGAGATTCATTAGAATAAGACATCTAGTAGGCACATGTACTTTATTAGCCTCTTACACCAATAGTTTTAATTAGGTACATATTTCACAGCTCTAGAGCTACTCGAGTGAAGGGCTGCTTTTATCTCTTTTATTTACAGTAACAAGCTATCAAACAAATACCACCATAATTAAACTCAGATGTAAAAAAAAAAAAAAAAAAAAAAAAAAAAATAACAGCAACAGTTGCTACCAAGAGAACAAAAGATTTCCCCAGGTCAAAGCTGCAAGTGGCATGTACCTCACAGAGCTATATTTTTTGTCTTAAATGTCTGTGCAGCTCTTTTGGTAAAGACTTCCCATGATGTGTCTCCAGACTCCCTGTACCCAAGTGCTGTTTGTGTGATCCATAGAGTCACACAGCACTTAAAGGTCCCATCTCTAAAGACCCATTTAAGGTTTTATACAAACAGGTAGTAATTTTTATCATCTACCACAAATTCTAGGCATAATTTTCCTGTCCCATGGCACGGGGGAGAAACCTGCAAGCCCACAAAAGTAGCAGTCACTGGGACACAACCTTAGCCACAGCTTCTTGGACCTGCATGTCCCTCCAGCTGAATTCCTTGGAGACATCCTGTACTTCCAGGTGTCTTTCAGTCTGATAAAGCTGCTTTTGGTAGCTCTGCAAAGTAGAGCCACCATCTGATTATAGCGGTAGCAAATAAGGCAAGAACAATCCCAGGCCATTCTGGACTGTAAGGTCTATGCAAATGCTGCAAGTCCTGCTGAATGCTAACTGGCAGCTCACACCAATTACTGAGTAATGGGCTCTCCACATGCCCCTTTACTTAACAAGTAGACTGCGGTCTGCACTCACTTTTGGAGCTCAGTTGTCCCTGGTTGTAACACCAACTGAATGCTTTGCAGTGGGCTAGCCTCACAGCGACTAAAGCTCAGATCGTTATAGCGAAGTCTCAACCAAAAGAAACTGCCACACTCTTCTCAATTGGAGCAGATGAAATAAAGGCTCTTGGACACAGTTCCTACCTAGGAGCCTGCCAGAGCCTAATAATTGCAACATGCTGTGATTCTAAAACAAATGTGTCATGGAGAGATACCCAGGCTAATTCTGAGTGAGGTAAATTTTCCTGGAGGAAATTCTTCATTAGCACAGTGTTATTTCTTCCCCTGCTCCAGCCACTTCTGGTCCTTTTCTCTGTGGTACTGCACAGAGCACATTTGCTATTGTGAGCCACAGAGCCATGGTCCCTCTGGATAGAGCAGTGACATTCAGGTCAGAAACAAAAATTTGTTCCTCCTTTGCTTCCTATGGAATCTTCACTGATCATATTCTCATTATTACTTTGCCTGGCCAGCACTACCTAAAACTTTAGCTGAATTTTAGGCACTATGGCTCCTCCACCTTTTCTGTCACATGAGAACTCATTCCCTGTCTTTATCTAGATGGAGATGCAAACAAGGTTTCACTGAATGCTCTTGAGTTCCACATTTTCTCTCTAGATCTTCAAAGGAATATACTGAACAGAAGACAACAGAGAAGATCCTTGTGAAATTGGTGCAAAAAGAAGTTACTGCCAAATAATCCCAAAGCATCTGAGATAGTTTCCACAAAGAAAGCAGCAGGGACTCCTAAAACACAGTTCCCATACATCCTTATTAGGAATGTGACACCATTACTTTCACAGCTAATGCTATGAAAGGCTGCTGAAATGTTCAAAGGAACTTTGGTAGGTTTATTTTTCTCTTTGGAATACAAAAGTTATCACTAAAGGCCTTATAAAAAGTAAGAAGCTTTCACAACCTTGAGTCTCTACAGGCAGCAAGTACATGCAAAATGTTGTCCTCAGTTTATATTCTTCAGATATTTAAAATTTTTGACATTGGGAGAATGGCATTTGTAGCCAGGTAGTTAGCATCAGATTATTATTTAATGCAACCAGTTGCATGAGTGCAATGCTGTGACTGAGACTTTTACATGCATGCAAGTCAGTGAATTCAACCCCATGGTTTCTGCAGCAGCCATGATTTGCACCCCATGTATTATGGGCTACCTGACAGTATTATAGACAAGGAGCCATCTCTGTGTGTGCCAGAAGAGAGAAACCAGTCATTGTACTGAAGGCCAACTGAAGTTTTAGGTGCCCCAAAAGGCCCATTAAATTCCAACTTCATGGGCTTATTACCGTACACTAAACTGATGTGGCCATCTTTATCTGAAATTAGTTTTTTCCTAACTTTGTATATACATGTACAACACAGTGAAGTAATGATGGCGGTTCCATACTCCTTCCCCATCATGTGTTTTGGTTCTATGCCTTGACATCCTGTTAAATGTAGTTACCAGGACAGAATTTCCCTTGGTGTTAGTTTTAGAGTGCATATGGGAGGTGGAAAGAGAACCCACTAAATGCACTAGTTCATTGTGTGAACCAGGCAGTAAATACAGATGTGGAACTCCATATTCATGTCTCAGCACGGGTATCTCTTCAGTGTCACACCTGCAGGTATTTATATGATCGCACACTGAAATAAATGCAGTGTGTGTGGGTGTGTAGAGCTGCACCTGTACTTATAATGAGACATTCAAAGAAATCTAGTAAGTTTTGTTGCAATCCCACTTGTCAAAAATGTTCCTGTACATTTTGTCCTGTATGGTCAGTAGCCTCATCCCTGCTGCTGAATCATTCTCTGGACTGGACTGGACTGCCCTAGGTACCCATCTCCTTCCCTCAACCCAGAAAGAAAATCTCCTACATTGTCACTTTCTCACTGCTTTCGTTCTAAAGACCAAAGCCTGTAAACAATCTGCCTGCACAACTTCTGCTGAGCTTGAAGTTGCTGGAACTGAAACTGGGCACAGAAGGCAATTTGCACACCCTTTGGGTCTGCATATTTGCCTGCTTCATAAAGAACATACAGGCTTTCCCTATAAGGCAGCTACTGACTGGCAAGTCCTGCTCTGGCACAGAAGTATTATACATCCTCGGATGGGTTTTGAGAGCCCTATTTCAGTCAGTGTGTTGTGGTTTAACCCCAGCCAGCAACTAAGCACCACGCAGCCGCTCACTCACTCCTGCCCCCTCCCAGTGGGATGGGGAGGAGGATTGGGGAAAAAAGTAAAACTTTCAGGTTGAGATAAGAACAGTTTCATAACAGAAATGAAAATATAATAATAATGATGATGATAAAAATAATAATAGTAATGAAAAGGAATATAACAGAGAGAGAGAAATAAAACCCAAGAAAAGACAAGCGATGCACAATGCAATTGCTCACCACCCACTGACCGATGCCCGAGCACCGATCCACCCCTCTCAGCCAACTCCCCCCAGTTCATATACTGAGCATGATGCCCTATGGGATGGAATATCCCTTTGGGTAGTTCAGGTCAGCTGTCCTGGCCATACTCCCTCCCAGCTTCTTGTGCACCTGCTCACTGGCAGAGCACCGGAAAACTGAAAAATCCTTAACTTGGGACAAGCGCTACTTAGCAACAACTAAAACATCAGTGTGTTATCAACATTATTCTCACACTAAATCCAAAACACAGCACTCTACCAGCTACTAAGAAGAAAATTAACTCTATCCCAGCTGAAACCAAGACACAGTGAAAGGAAAGAAAACTAAAACCTCATGGTTTATGTGCAGTGCAGAGCCCAATACTTAGTATATTAAAAATACTATTACATCAGTCAAAGAGCATAAGAAACACAGACTTGTTCTTGTTTTTCAGAGGAGGAAACTGAAACAAGGTATCCAAGTAAATTGCCTAAGTAAGCATCAAATATTAGGATAAATTTTCAAATGTCTCTACTTACCTGGAATTTAAAATTGTGAAGTAATTTAAAGCTCCTTAAGACTGAACAGTTGCCGGTGAGGATAGGTAGGCATCTCATCATTGGCGGTGGTTTAGGGTACAAGAGAAAACACAGAGAAAGTGAAACCATTATTGCCAAGCAAAAGTGCTGTAACCACTGGACGTTGACTTAGAAACATTTGGACTTTGTGCTGTAGTTCAACCCCACCATAAAGACAATGAAGCCTGTATATCTGTACACATTTTAAGGAAACAGGAATAATAAGAAATAAGTTACTCTTTCACTCTTTATAACCAGACTCAGCATTTCCTAATGTCAACTGTAGAAAGGAAGTACTGCCTAGTCTTTAGACCAAGGTACTGCAAGTAGAGAGAAAAAATTCCACGCAAAGTTTTGCTTGTAACTGGCTAAATCAGCCAATCATTCCATGCCTTAGTTAACACATTAATATTGCAGGTATTATAATATCTCAAAAAATTTCCTTTTACCAAAAAAAGAGGTCCCCTCTTTGCCCGGCCACATATTCTGTTTCCCCTTCCTTTCAGATGAATGCTTTGGCAAAAGAGAGATTTGTTTTATGACATTTACTGCATTTGTTGTGCTGACATCATAGAGTCAACAAGAACAAGTATTTATACTTCTATTATGCCTTCATTGAACTGAACAAGGTGTTCAACAGGACATTTTAATTATAATCCTACTTCTAACAGCATGAGTAAAGGTGTTTAAAAAACACAATCAAGCATGAAATAGAACAGTAAACATGCCATTTCAATTACAAAATTATGTATAAGCACATCCTTGCACAGCACAACGTTTGAAGACTGAGAGAAACGCTAAAATCCTACCTGAAACCCCAGGGGGGGTTGTGCACAGGGTTGAAGGAGCTGAAATGCTCTCTCTTCACTCTTTTGTGCACTCACATTGAATTTTTTACCCCAGAGAGTAACTCACAAAGTCCCAAACTGACAATTTTTGCGTTGATTTCCATGGAGGGAGACTAGCCATAAGTTTTTGTTGTGTTGCAGTGTCGTGTCAGACACTTGTTCCTGTTTGGGGAGCTCTCTTTTACTTCCCGGCCCAGTGGTGCTGAAATTGAAAAGCAAATACACTGGCAGATCCTGGCATTGTTATCCACCTGTACTGTGGTGTACAAACTGCTCTCCACCATCAATGCAATAGAGTAAATACTGTATGTCTCATGTTTATAGATATCACTAAATGTCATGTGACCCACCAGAAACTCCTGGACATCTATGGTCCCTTTGGGCACAGCAGGATACTGGGCTGCCCTGTAAAGTGCTGTAAATCCCCCAGGCTGTCAGGAGGGAGAATTTCATCCCTCACTCAACACCACTATACTGCAGGCTTCACCAAGTTCGGGGAACAGATACAATATATTGTTTTACAGCGGACACTCAGGAGGAAACAGTGGGAGCTGCCTTCCCATTGCAGAGACACTCACTCCAGGAGCTTCTGAGCAAGTAAACGATGCCTCGATTTGGTAAAATCCACCTTCTCTCCAGTGAATAAACTCACACTGCTTAAAAGAGTGCAGCAAGGTTGTCACAGAAGCCTGGCAGTTGTGACAGACTGATGTAATTCAGGGATTTTTGGCATTGTAAACAAAAGGGAACATTGGTGCTCCGGTGATTAGGGATGGGGACAGGACAAGGAGGTCTGGCCTGTCCCTGTGGAGGCAAGTGTGCCAGGAAAGGACAGCTGAGGAGGGAAGCTGGCAGCTGAGGGTAGACTCGCTAGATTTCTGCAGCCAGACACAAGTGTGAACAAAAGTTATTGCTAGGTGGGACTTTTCCCTGGCCTTCAGGCAAACTCCTCTCCTCAAAACAGATGTCCAACTACTGGCAGCACAATGGCCAACTACTTCTCCAGAGCTCTGGAAGCACAGAATCAAACAGGCAATGAGGCCGCAATCACTTTGCTGCCCTAAATAACTGCCTGCTTGATCAGTGTGTAGAGCCAGTTCTGATGGGCACATACCAGAAAAACACTGTCCCACTAGCAAAGATGAAACCTTTTCTTTTTTGCACGTGATACCACTGGGCACTCGAGGAGCAGCTGGAAATACGGTGAATATTCTTACTAAAGCACAGCCAAACTACTCCAGCCTGTCCTCTGCAGCCCTTGGGGAGACAGTTTCTCCACACAGCCCCAGAGAGGAGAAAATTGGAACAACTTGCATTTCTGCCATGCAGATTAGACTTGAACCAATGCTGGATGCATTAAGTTCTCAAAGACATCTGGAGATCATAATCGGTACTATCTCGTGATCTGGACTATTATCTTTTCCACAAACCATACAATTCTGTTTAATAGACTATGCGATTGTCCGTGGTATTGAATCATCTTCTAAAAAATCTGACCTGGAAATTACTCTTGTTATTGTGATTTGAAATTAATAACTTTCTCAAGAATTTTTTTGGTCACTTAGATGAACCTGTAAATACAGCAGATAATTTGGTGAAGTATGTAAGAATCAGTAATTGATAATCTGATAAACATGCATGTAAAAGCATTTAATTGACAAGAAACTATACTGGCATCCATAGGTATTTAATAGCACAGACAGCATTAAAAATTTGACTGCTATCCCTTTTTTGAAATACAATTTGTTACTCACTCACTAGCCTTTCAGAGCTGAAGGAAAAACTCAGCATATTTTTTCCGTTTCTGGAAGAACCTGTCTTTTGCAAAATGCCAGAGCACCTCATTAGTGGAAGCCTCGGTTAGTTTGTAGATAGCTGGCAGAGGTGTTTTGTTGTGCTTGTTTCCACTTCGTTTTTCCCTGCTATTATGAGTAAGTAGAAGTAAAAGCATAGTTTTCATTGCCTTTAATGGAAGCAGAATCTACTTTTACTTCATGGCTATTTTCCATTCTTCTCCTGGCACTACACAGAAACTCATGTGAGGTGAGACACGGCAGCGAGGTGACTTGGCGGTGAGGGTTCCAAAAGCCAACACTAAATGCAGATAACATATTTTTGACTAGTTATGCACATTTACAGTCCCTGACAGAAACTTAAGAGAAGCACTATATGGAGAAGTCATTAACTGAGATTTAAATTTGGGAAATAAAGGAAATATGGGAAAACCTAAAATTTAAGGCTCACATTTAACATCTCTCTACTTCAAGCAAATCAGCAAATGGGGCAAGTTCATTTATACTAGAAGAAATGAACATGAGACCTACCTGATTCCTGCATCTTCTCCTTGAAAATACCACTTTGGTAGAAGAAAGCCATGCTGCTTTTGCTGTCTTTCAGAACTGCCAGAACCTCCCCACCTTCTGAATAAATCAGGTTCCAACCTCTGCAACTGAACAGATCCACAGAAGGTTCTCCATGGGCTTCTCACAACCAGATATAACTCGGGGCATAATTAGGAATTGGGATCATAACTAATTAGTTCTGAACAGTTATGAGAAGTAATGTTGCATGAGAAGGAGAACATCTCATCCAATTAAGAGAACATCATTTTCAGGATCAATTTTAGAAAGCCGTATGTTTTTATACGTACATTCAACACAGAAGCAAGGATGGAGCTTGGCATTTGAAAGGTCAGATTTGAAATTGAAGCCATTGTTCGAACATCTTCCTTTGCAATAAGAAGCAGAAACAGCCTAGGCAAAGACAATCTGATTCTAACTCCCAGGTCCCTCTCTGGCTCCCCTGTGCAGTCTCAGGGCTGGTCTACCTGTGCTTGCCTCCAGCAGGTGTTTGTTTCTCTTCCCCAAGCACAGGCATGCTCAGGGGAAGAAGCCTGTGCAGAAGTCCTGACCATAGCTGCTGGGCATTGCTGAGCCCCAGAGCCCGAGCTGCAGCTTCTGCAGCCACCAGCCAGGACACAGTGCACTGCTTTGGGGCTGGGCACCTGGAGCACCAGCCAGCCTCACAGATGGAGTGGGAGTGGAGTGTGGTGACACCAGCTCATCAGCAGGCCCAAGGGTTGTCGAGACTTTGCAGACATGAAGGCAAAGGAGAGCGTAAAGGAGGTAGATGATGATACAACTGCTTTGCAGAGTACAGACACAACAGGAGCTGTAATCACAGAGAAAACAGAGCGTCTGTCTGAAACACTATTTCTGCTTTATTGTGTAAATACAGGAACTATGACTTCATGTCTCACACTTCAAGAGACGTACTCTTGGGCTTCTTTTCTTCCATATCAGAGCTCTAAGAAATCCAAAATGTGTGTGTTTCAGTTCTGGCTTGAGGTTAATCTCTATAAACAAGTAATGTAACATTTCCATCTATCTTTTCTACTCTCTTGGCGGTTTTAATTATACTAATATGCTATGACAATTTAAACAAGACACATCTCAGCTTCTGGCCTGCTCTGTAATGGTTCAGCTGCTACATGTGCTCCAGCATATTTTGCTCAGACAGGCTGCTGCTGGAGGCAGGGGGGAGGCAGAATAGAGCCCTTCTGTCATGAGAGATTTCATTGCACTGATCATTGTATGTTTGACAGATTCTTTGTCAATGTCAAGTGTCTTTTGTGGTTAAGCCCAGTAAAGCTAAAACAAAAGGTCTCCAAGATACTAGATATATAGTGACATTACTGAATTCACTTGGAGGCAGTAATTTTTTGTCAGTCTATGAAAAGAAAAATGGAGCTAATGGAAAAACAAAAGGAAGATGCCGGCATGTCTTTTTAGCTATTTTTGTTTATGTCAGACATTGTGATTGACATCTGGCCCAGAACACCCCTTCAACCATTGAGGCTGATGTCATGAAACAGAACAAAGAGAAATTACCAGCCAAGAAAACACCACTGGCTCAGAAAGCACTGCTTTTTGTTTATTTTAAGTGTTTCATTTTCAGTAATCAGTATCATTACACAAAAGTAGTTTGCTCACATGCACCCCCCACTTACTAATTGGACTTTTAAGTTCCCCTCATGTTTGCTTTCTTCCCGCCTGCTTGAATGGCACCAGAGTGCTGGTTTGGTTGGATGACAGTCTGTCATAACAGTGATGTTTGAGGTTAGTGAAAACTGACGTGAAAAATACAATCCACTGGCCTTTAACTGAAATAGCAGCTCTGGTTTTTGTGGAGTTGGCAGGCAGCATTTTTAAACTCCTTTCACAGTGAAGGCAGTTACAACATGTTTTTCTCTGTATCAAGCAGTTCCATCATGAAGTACATTATCTACGTTTGTTGTCATATCAGGATATGGCCTTTGAAGAGCAGCTTGCTGTTTCTTGTGTGGGCACTTCTCTTGCTGAAGTGCCCTAAGAGGGTTAAGGGAATTTCATGATCATTCTCCAGGGCCAGGCCAACTACAAAGCTTTAAAATTTGTTTAAGAGTGATTTTGGGGAAATATCAGTGGCTAAAATAGGTCCTGCAGACACACAATTCCAAGGAGACTTTGTCACCAGTGTTCTGCAAGTGCTGTAGAATTTCAGAGACATGGTCAAAATTCTATATCAGCAGAAGGAAATTATTCTTTAAATTTCTAACTTCATCTTGCAAGTACGAGGCTGAACATAACAAAAGAAGACTTTTCACAAGATAAGAGCAAGACAGTCCATCAGCCACGGTCTTCCATACAGTTATATGATTAAATCATATCAGAACCCTTACATTAAACCTTTAATCACTTAAAAAAAATTCTAAGCAAGTTAGCATCACATGTGTCAGAGCTAAACATGCTTGCACCTTTTTAATAGGGTACCTTTCAGTATTGAACACCAGGGTATATTCTCCTGTAGAAGCATACACTTAACTCCCCTCAGCATTAATAGCAGATATGCTCACACATCGAGTGGAGAATTTCTCTCTGTCTCTTTGCACAGTGCTTTAAAAAGAACTTTGAAGAAATTGAGAAAAACATAGAGAGTGGTATATTAATTTTAAGGAGATGAAAGCAGTACATGTCATTCCTAAATTTCATGGAAAATGTACCGTTAGTAACAAAGATGAGTAGAAAATTTCAAAATCATTTTGAGAGGCATTAAAATCAGTCTTCCCTGATTTTCTGTTTTCCCCTTCTTTTCAAAGCACATACATTAAACTCATTTTATGCTTATAATGTATATAATGATTCTAGACAACATAAGAAGGACACTGGGATTCTTCCTATTTCAACGTATAAAGTGGCAAGCCAATTTATGCAGCTTAAACCATTGCTAAAGAAGATGTATCAAAAATTGCCTGTGATCATTACAAATAACAGCCTGAAATGTTCACAAGAAGCTGTTTGCTTATCATATTTTCATTAAAACATCTTTTCACCTGCTTTGCTTTTCCCATGCCTGTAACCTGCATTGTAATCAGTCTTATTAACTGAGAACATAAATATGATTTATTATGGTCTGATAATGGAAGCTGCATGGACCAAGAGAAGGGATATATTGTCCTTTGATAAAATGGCTCTTTTCTCTCAAATAGAGCTCTATCATGAGAGCATGCAGAATGTAGTGAGTGATTATTTCCTGAGGGTGAATGATGGCAGAACCCTACAGAAAATCTTCTTGTTGGCCATGACAGCCTCCGAGTGTCCCCAAATCTCACCGAGTTTGACAACCTGCAGACACTTTTGATGAACTGTATTCTTCTGTCAGAGACAGCCTGTCTGGGAGGAGAAAAGGGAACCTTTATCGTCTGATCTGCTATTATTGTCTTGATCTTTTATAAGCAATCTCTAATGCACATGAATATAATATCCTTTCACACAAGTGCCAAACATAATAGAAATGTAGTTAAAGGACCCTTTTCCCGGTTATGTAAATGCCCTAATACCATAATTAGAAAAGATGGTTTGTGAATGATAGCAGTAAGGAAAGGGTAATCAAAATGTTTTAACATTATCTTTCTGTTTTAAAGACCAAAATCTGTGATAAATAGCATTTATGGTACATGTGGGGAACCAGCTTGTGCTGAAGCTTTTACCTAGAAGAGAATAGTTTTGAGCGTAAAACTGGTGTTATATTTTCATAAAACACATAAATGGCAGCTGGTCTTAAGCCAGAAATGATTACTGGCAGATATGACTTAAAGAAAATGAGTATTCCACTCAAAATCCCTCCATGGCTGTTATAGAAAGAACAAAGCGTTATTATTAAGTAGTGTATTTGGACAAAGGGCTGTTCAAGACCAACTAAAGTTCTCCAACAAATCTCTCTTTTATCTATATCCAGAAGAACAAGCATAACAAAATCTTTTTCAATTAACAGCTGTACACATTAGCAAAACACCGTCTTCTCAGCTTAAGCAGTCTGGTTTATTTATCACAAAAAATGAAATGTTTGGGGTGAACATTTCCAAGTTGCCCAGTAAAAGTAAGATACTTGATTTTTCATTAACCTTTTGACATCTGGAACTGGGATGTCCCAGTATTAACTACTAATGGTCTTTTACATTACCAGTTGGTGTTGAGAGAAGTCCCAATTGTCAGAGTCAAAAGGTTAATCAGCAATTTCACACCAGTGATGTGGTCAGAGTTTGCATGTTACTGCCTGAACAGGAGGAAGAAGAAAATGAAGTCATTAACAGAAAATGACATACCAACATTATTAAGACCCTCTTGTATTTTTTTGTTAGAAAATATTTCATGATCTATTTACTAAATATTCTTTTTAGGGAACTTTGCAAAACTTTGCTGAGAAGTTAAAGTCCAAATACATGACCCACTTGATTGGTTTATTCTGCTTTTCTTAAGAAAAAAAAAAAATTTTACTCACCTGCCAAGTGTTCAGTCCAGGCCAGTGTGGGGGAAAAGTCTTCAGGTCTGTTACCACTGGAGAGTTTAAAAAACGTATCCAACTGGGGCTAATTCAGCCTGAGAGTTGCGTCCTGTCTCCTGGAGGTAAAGACACCTGAATGCCCGTTCATTCAGGGTGAATTTCATAGTGCAGATGCTGTATCAGGGATGAAGTATGTCCAATAGCAAAAACCTGCGTGTAGACTTTTCCCTCATGCCCCCTTCTGTCTTGATTGTAGCAAATAAGTCAACAGCAGAATTCCCTTAACAAATATGGACAGCAATATTATTTCATGTGAAAGTACTCATATAAACAGCCATGCCAGTACCTCAGCTGGTATCATTTGACCAGAAATAGCCATAGCATACTTTGACTTGTAGCCCGAGAGCTCTCCTAGCCATAGCAAAACCAGATTTATTTTCCAAAAGAAAATATAAAATATTTCTGAAAACATTATGGCTTGGCATTTGATACCAATAACAATGTTCACACAAAATGACTTTTCATTTACCCTGGCAATATCTGAAATTGTTAACCATTGCTTATCTTGTGTTTGGCCCTGATCAGAAGCCTTCTCATGTCACCATATGGATCAGGCCAGTTGTTCTATGTTTTTGAGACATTCCATCTTTTTCCTATGGCTAAGAAAAATAAGTAGTGAATCTTGCCCAAAACAACATCCTTCATCCTGGATATTTTCTGCATCACATAGTTCCTCTTGTCTCTTTCTCCAATTCCAACAAAATCTACGGCTCAAATCTTTCCTCTCTTGATTGCTTCTGTTTTAATGGGGATAGGATTTTACCCTGAAATGTTCTGAAAAAAAATATCAATCTTTCCAAGTGCCCTATTACTTAGTCCACCAATTAGCTGACTATGGAGCTTGAGTGTCCTTGTACATCTTCCCAGTCCCCATCTGTATACTTGGCTGCATATGTTTATGCAATTAGAAATGGTGAAAATCTAATAAAATTAGGACAAACCTGAGTGAGCCATAATTCTGTTTAATCTCTCAAACTGGATTGTTGAAAGCTTGCTGAATTCCCCAAACCTCTCTCAGGTGCCAATGAATGAGTCAATATCATACCAAAGATCTCACAGCACAGCAGACGTAAATTGTACTTCCAGAATCTCATACACACCCTCAAATAATGAATCTAATGTCTCTAAAGTAATGACAGGGAAAAAAAGCAGTTCCCTCCAGTTACCAGCTCCAGTACCTCCAGTACCAGTTATCGTACTTGGTGGCCCTGAGTGGCAAAAAGCAGAATACATGGCAGATTTGCGTGGGGAAGGAGGGGTCACTTCAAGGCCCATGCCTTCCTGTGGCAGTACTAGAGCAATCCATGCCTCCTACCTTCAGGGGAGGACCACTGACATTATCACACTGGGCTTTCTAGATCCCCTTGGCTAGGCCTGAAAAAATCAACAAGATGGGACAATGAAGGTTTCTTTCATCTTGATGTGATGCTTCTCCAGATTTTTCTTTTAGAAGACTGTTTTACACTTTGTTTTGTACTGCAGTGGTAACTAGTGGTTTGCATAGTCATCAGTCTGGAATAATCCCAGACCACTTCATACCTGTGTCCTCTCATCACACACCATGCAAGAGAAGCCAGGAAAGGAAGTGAAGAATGATTTTGGCTGAAATTAGGGGGAATTTTCTTTGAAAGAGAATAGAATTATTTGGAGTTGAAGTACAGTGGAGCAATTAATAACTCTGTTCTTGGAAGAAAGACTCCAGGATCTTTTATCTCAAGTTGTGAGGGCTTTGGTTTTGTATCTAAGCCAAACTATGTATTTGCGGCAGAATGGGGCTTTTCAGTATGAGGAGGCAAATGTAAGCATTGTGACATTGGGTCCATAGCTCAGAAGAAAATGTTGTCTGCAGATCAACCAGTTCCTTTTCCTTTTTTACCCCTGTATGTTCACCTTTCTCCAAGTACATGCCTTGTTTACTCTGTGAGATTTTACAGAATTTGAGAAGGAGGTGACTGTGCCAGGAACAGGTTTTCCATAATCATACAACTGAGTTACGGCTCCGACACATACACTTTGGGATGCTGAGGTGGTAGAAAATAGAGCTGGAAGGGATTGTCCAACACCTGACAGTATTCCCCAGGTTTTTGACTACTCTGTCATTGGAATCCTTTAGTGATGAAGGCTTCATCATCACTCCAGTCAATTATCCCAACAGATAACTGTCCTTTCCTAAGTGACAAGTACAGTCTAACAGTGAGACTGATTGCTTTCTTAGACATTATATGTTTTGCTCAAATACAACTTAAATATATTTATGCCTTTCACCTTGTTTCTTCTCCATTTATTTCTGCCTGTTACTTGTCCGTTGCCATTTTTTTTTAATGTCATCTTTCTGCCTACTACCTTAGAAGTTATTCTTTAAGTTACTCCCTTACTTTTTTGTTTTTTGAACTATGTGCTCTTTGGCACCCTCGTATTTTTTCTCCTCTTTGTGTCTTTCCAAACACATGAAAAACAGACTCCCATGTGACAGTGGCTTTGCCACAGAGACCTGTCTTCTGTCATCCCCCAGAGGAGAAGCAAAATGACGCATTTTCATTCATTGAATCAAAAACACTTTTCTTAAACAATGAGAAATTATACGGATGTATTCAAATTCAGGTCTAAAGGTGATGTTCTTGAGGTGTGACTAAAGAGCATAGCTAGCTATGGGAAGCACACAACATGCATATGCAGGGATAGGCATTTCATAGCCTCTGCAAAAGGAAATCAGAACTGACAGTCATGTTAACAGATGTCTGCTTCCTGCTGACTGTTAGGTAAAATTAGTTCCAACACAGGTCTGGACTTATGGGTTCAAGAACACCAGATTAAGTGACTTTATCTCTAAATTATGCCAGGAAAGGTGCCATCAAAAGGAGTTAAGGTGGAACATCACCATAGGCACAGAATTGTTTTACTTTTGTCCCCTCAAGTCAGGCACATTACATCATTTTAATGTACATGTAATAAATACATAAGTATGGTAGTGTCCCTGTGGCACTACAGGCTGCTTGGTTTAACAGGTATTTGGGGATGTCAAGATAATCTCCAAAATTTAGTGCAGCTCAAACACCATTGTTTCTTAAAAAACAACTGTTTCAACTTATTCTTTCAATTTTTGACAGAAAATTATCAAAGAGGTGACTACCACTGCCATGGTGGGAAGCAGTATGATGAATAAAAGGGAGGACTAAGAAAAACTTACTCCACACTTAAGAGAAGAAAACAAGTTTGTTTTCCAGCACATCTGTTTCATGGTGCATTGTTGCTGCAATATAAATTTTTTTAACTGCAGTGTTTTCCTATCTGCTTTGACCAGGTTCTATGCTTGAAAGGGCTAAGTGCAGTGGTCTGAAGCAAGACTATTGTGGGCATCTGATAAAGGAGCTGTTTGCATTAGCACTGAGGATCCACTGCAGTGAGATCTCAGACTGCGCCTTTCCATAGAAGGTCCGTACATAAAGCAGGGAAACTAAACTTGGTTTTGGGAGGCAGAGGTTCTTTGTCCCCTGCATGATCTCAGACAACATATTTCCACTCTCCAAGCCTCATTTTTTCCCTGAAATAGGGACTGACAGCTTCCTGTCTTCTCTCTCTGGACTCGTGGCTTTTTTGGCTAGTGGCTGTTCCTGATTATGGGTAGGTCTGATGACTGTGAGTCTGACCTCCAGGAGGCCTCTGGACACTTCTATATTATATTTGATAATGAATCCTCCTGTCTTATCCAATCAAGACAAAAAAAGTAAGTCAGAGCAGAGGAAACTGGCTCAGCACAAAATGGCAGCCTTGGTGGAGTAAAGACAGAGCCATTAGCTATTGACTACTGTAGAAATACTGAAACTGCATCAGGGATTTCTTTTTTAATTGCTATTTAGGGATTTAAATGAGATTTTTTAAAAGAAAGAAAGACAGAATGTTTAGTCTACAATCACTCTTTGCTGCCAATACAGGCTATCATATAAATTACTTAGACACTTTTAAAAATACATTATTTACTCAATAACCCATAATGGGTCCAGAGCTCCTTTTACACGCTATTATAGAAGTACATAATTGCTGAATGTTCAAATGGATATTTCTTCTGGGCAATAGTCTGTAATGGCTCCTTCAAAGCTCTTAGGCTTTTATCATATGAAGGCCTAAGTAGAAAATGTTTAGTTCACTGATCACTGACCTAATAGAGAGCAACAGCTTCTCTGGAACAACTATTGTCTGCTAGGGCAGATGATGTATGAATGACATTTTAAAAAATTCTTGGAAGTATGTGCTAGGGAAAAATTACTGTTCATGTGCAAAGCAAATACTGCTGATGAGATCCTCAGAGTTCTTTTTTTTGGTTCTGCTTGGTTTAGTTTTTTAGTTTCTATGAGAGCCCAAGAACAAAAGAAAACAGTCAATTTTGTGTATGAAATGAGAACTCGATCTAGGACCCATTTGGATCTGAGAGGGATTTCCATGTTCTCAGATGTCATTCAGCTCCATTAAAAATTGTCTCAAATGAAAATGCAGGTATTTGGTAAATAAATATTACAATGTAAGAAGCTGAATTTTTAAATCAGAGAAGTAAGAGATGCTGCAGTGGGGCAAATCACATTCCTTTAAGTCATATTGAACACAGAAAAACTCACAGGTCTATCCTGAGCTTGATCCAGAAAGGAAATGGACAGCTTGACACATTTTCAGCACTATTGCTATGAGTCTCACAGTTATTGAGCTGCTGTTCTCTACTTACATTTAGCTTTGAAGTCTGCTGCTTCCATTTCAGACACAAAAAACCATGCAGGTTCCTAAAAGCTTGGTGTAAGAAAACACATTTTCTCTCTCTGCACACTTTGGGCAGTAAAGCCCAATGAGGTGCTACCACAGAATAAATGTCAAGTGGGTCTAAGTGCAGGACCAGAGAGGATGGATGTCAGCTGGTGTCAGTCGGGCAGAGACCCTCAGAGATGCTGAAGGACACCCCCAGCTCTAAGCCTGATAGGCCAGGGGAGAGGTCCTCGCTGGGCAGCACAGCTCCCTCACGGGCTTGGGGCTGGTGGCAATGGGAAGTGCAGCTCACCAAAGGAGGTTACGGAATAGCCAGCTCAGGAGCTGGATGTGACCTTAACACCTTGTGCCATCAAACCAGACCAACTATCCCCAGCACAGTGCTGGTTTGCATGTGACCCCCCATGAGAAGTTCTCCCATGCCTTTTATCAGTGGATTTCTCCAGCCTAGTAAGGCTGCCTGGGACTCCT